TTTAACTTTTAAACGAACTTGATATCCCTACTTAAGTTAAAGGCGTTATAGCGAATACTTAAATAAAGGCAGGTATTTCTACGACTCAAGTTTTTTTTAAAATTGAAGCTTTAATTAAATAATTTAAAATAGTAATTTTAGGTAATACAAAAATTTTTGCACGAATATAATAATAATTACTTATTCTAATCTTACCTTTAAAAAAAAGCACAACACTTAATCACAGCCAATTCACTTCGAAAGTTTCAATAAAACTCACTTTACACGTTATAATTTATATTAAATAGCGTCTTAAAATTGCCTAATTAGTTAATTTAATTAATGCTTAAATTTATTTAATCCCAAAACTAATATCAATAACTTATACAGAGTAAAAATGCACGATCTCCGACTTAGCGTTTCAATGTCACGGACGCTATCATAGAACTGTATTTTCCTGCGAGCACCGTTAATAGACTGCAAGTATGTATCTGAATTTCAGCGTCGTGATAAACACGTAGGTAGCCATTTACCTATGTGTGTTAACTGACGTTAGAGTAACGCGAATATTGCAAGGGCGTAGAGGACCGTAGACTGTCTACGTCCTTCTACGCTTTGTTATAAGGTACAATATTAAATGTAAACTTTTTTGTGTAACATTATCCTTGTCTCTTGTGATAACAGTAGTAGACATCGGGTGACTTAACTTGAAACAAGGTGTATAAAGTGAATTTAATGGAAATCTCAGATTTTTCTAAGTTGTTAATATTATGTTTTAAGAAATTTTATTCATCAAAAATAAGTGTTTTGACAAATTTTAACTTACCTGTCAAAAATTTTAATGTAAAAATGTTGTTTTTTTACTATTAAACATTAAAGTCGATTTGTTCTGGGGTTCTATCGCTAATTAGCTAAAAAAATTGTGTATATATTTGTGGACACTGATCGCGAAAATGCCTAAACAGATTTGAATTCGATTCTCACTAATTTATTTCGGTCAGCATAATTCTATACTTCTTACCTTTTTCGTCTAATTCATTGTCAATGCGACTGGGAAAACACTATTTACCCTTAAATTAAAGTCACACTTATTCCCGGGCCTTTAAATCACAGTAGTTCAGTATGTGTACAGTCGCGGAAATCCGCGATGGTCTGTTTCAGGAAGAATTCTCTGTTTAATGCAACGGGACAAACTCCGCCTACTAATTAGATGCAGTGAGTGCCAACGCAGAGATAATAAAAAAAAAACAGCTGTATATCCCTTACCCGCTTTTCGGTACAGACACAGATGTTAGCTGTGGTGTATTGATTTTTGATCCGCGTCTCGTTACAAAAATTTCAAACGATTGTAGCTTTTAAGGTGAAACTCTGACTGATACCCTGACTGTACAAGGTAACACGTGATAATGGAGAATTAGGTCAACGTAACTACACCATATGACTATCAATTTAAAAATTTAATAACCTGATGTTAAAAACTAAACAGATTTTCGTACATCACACAAAGTAGACACATATTTCAAGAATTGATGCCTTTAAAATAATCTATTCATAACACATTCACACACATATGTTGTTCATATTACTAACTTTATTTCATTACGTGCGCGATTAATATAATATTAAAAAAAATCTGTTAAGATACATGAAGCTATAGTGCCGGAGGTAACTGACGAATAGCAGTTCTTGCACCCAACGATTCTCCTACATACGCAAGGCTACAGTTCCCAGAACGCTGTTGCAGCCGTTAAATCCAACCAACCAAATCTCTCGCTTTGTAACTACTGAAATTCGTAATTGATGTTTCTCGGTAAAACGATTTGCTGTATTTATTTAGTTTGAAAAGGAAATAATTTGCTTTTCAACCGTTTCATTTTGCGTTAAAGTTGTTTTCTCCACTAATGGGAAAAGATCGATACTTGAATTCGTTGTAAGTTTTATACTTGTGTTTGTTTTTTCTGGGTGTGGTAACATTTTTTTTTGTCATTAAGATCAGGTGGACCTTGTATCTAAATAGGGTCGGCACAGTAGATATTATTTAGTATGTTAGTAACCTTTCAATTAATTAATTCCTAGACATATCCATTCTAACTTTTATTTTATCAGACTAGCTGTCGCCCTCGGCCACGTCCGCGAGAAATTAAATAAAGTTATTGTTACTAGCCTAAGATTTCTTCCAGACTATCCTCTACATCTATGCCAAATTTCATCGAGATCTGTTTAGCCATTTAGGAGATACCTTTTAACAAACTCCATCTGAATTTGTGCAATCATACTATACTAATCATACCAATATTATAAATGAGAAAGTTTAGATGGATGGGTGGATGTTTGTTAGAGTTACAAACTCTTTCCTAAACGACTAAACGGATTTCGATGAAATTTGGTATAGATATAGAGGATAGTCTGGAAGAACACATAGGCTACTTCACTTTTGTTTTTTTTTTTAATTCTGAACATAAGTAAGATTAAAACATACAACCATTTCCCAAAACCAAGATAATATGATGTACACTTTAATAAGCTCTTAACCAACTCAGTGTAAAACTTTAAAGATGTCATAGCTTTATCCTTAAACTTAAAAGGTAAATTCGAAATAAGTTATGATTTTTTTCACATTGAGTATACAATATAACAGTTTAAGTAGGAAGAAGCAAGGTTATTTCCAACATCGCAGAAAATCTTTTTTTGTTTATCTATACTATTATAATAAAGCGTAAACACACACTTCTTAGTTGCCTAAGATGTCCGCAATTACAGCATATTTTTAAAAATAATACTTTTTTTATTAAAAAGCCCTACACTCACGTCACACTGTAGGCTATATATTTTTACGCCATTAAACTTAGGGGGTAAACATTTTGGATAAAAATCCTAATGTGGGAAAGAGACCATAAGTTGCTGCCAACATCAAGGAAGCACGGTTGCCATAGTTTGTCATCGTCATGTCATTTTGACATTTGCAATTCATAATTTGACACATGTAAACTATAAAATAAAATTTTGATAATTTTATGCGGATGAAGTCGCACGGGAACAGCTAGTTTGGAATAAATGTATACAGAGTGTAATTTTTCTATAAAAACAGTTTTTTTTAATATATAGAACTTTATAAGTTTCAACGTCAAAGATCTTTGTTTTTTTTTTTGTTTCTCAAGTAGCTTTTCACTTTTATATATTTATCTCGATCGCGGTCTTATTACTTAATATATTTATCATCACATTCAAAAACTTTGAAACAACTCATATTAATTAAAATACATAAGTCAAAACTAAGTCTGTACTAATAGAAGTGAAAATCGTTACTCGATTTAAAAATCTCCCCTTGTAGTCGTCGGTTTATTTTGTAGTTATGAGCATACGCTGACTTAATTAAACTCAACTTACCTAACTGCATCACCTGTAGTCGCCATTCTGTCTTTCCCAACAATTAGCTAGAGGCGAAAAAAAAAATCAACCCTACTATGTCTGAATAGCCTAGTGGTTTAGGGTACTGCCTGTAAAGTATCGAGTCGCGAGTTCGAATCCAGCTTTGGACATCCTCTCTTTGTAAACTTTTGAGTTCAGATTATTTGTACAAAATGATTTTGTTTACATATTTTTAATTTATGAAGCATTTAGTACTTTTAAATTTAAAGGGTGTGAGTGCGTTCTGCATCCAGCATATTTCATTCCCGCCCAGTTCCCGAATGACTTGTTTAACTGTGCAGATAAGTACAAGTCAGATTAGAAAGTTAGTTCCACATTAACCTGCGAACCCATAACCGTTCTGTTAAACGACAATTAACTAAAGATTAGTAGTGGCAAAATTGATCCCTAAAAACCGTTAAGGTTGTTAACAATTGAATTTTCATGTAAACATAGTATTTTTCGGAATCATCAATGTCATAAAAACATGTTTGAGTAATGATAATGACATGAAATCACACGTTAACTTCATTGAAATGTAGTGATTTACAAGCGAAAATCCATTGTATTCTCCAGTTAGTTTCCACTACCACTTGTACAAAAACATATTGTTGTATATAAACAACGTAAACGGCAGTTTTGTTTTTCAACGTTGAAAACACGCAGTTGTGAACATTATAGTGCAGTGATGTTGTTAGTATAATGCAATCATTTAGTGAACAAGTGATGCTAGGATCATCACTACTTTTGTACAGTTTTATAATAATTAAGAAATGTGTATGAACCTAAAGTTTAATTAGAATGAATCTTAACAGGGCCTGTTTTAGTATTGACGACATTGTGCGAGGGATATCCCCGAAGCCCCATAATGCATACAAGCCCATACCCGCTTACATCTCTTTATGTACGGCCCTGAGCGGTCACCCTACCTCGATATGGGATCTTAATCTTGGTATGGGATTGATTTTTAATTGGTGTACTTTGCAGGTGAATGATGATGTGACAAATAATATATTTTGAGAGATGAAGACACATAAAACTATATATGCATAACTTTAAACTGTCGTGCTTTTTATTAATACAATGTTTGTAAGATACGGTTTTCTTACCACGATTGGGATTTTTAAATTCCCGATATTTACACAGTTGCATGCCGCATATTCACGGACTGACTCCGGGAAGATACCGTGCTAAAACTACCCAATAGTAGAAAGAAACCCGAAACTCACAAATATGGTATTTTGTTTAAAATTATTAGTCTGTCAACGTTAATACACATTTTATTCTATGAACATAAATTTATTTCCCTAAGAGTAAATTTGTAATACTACTAGTGCCATCTAGTTCAATTTTTTAAAAACACTTCTCAACCATCTCAATCAAATATTGGATTTATAAAAATAAAATTACAGACTATAATAATACAGACGGATCATTTTTAACACACAATTTTATGTGGGAAATAATTAATAAAACACAGTAGTTTTTGCTATATCTTTATTATTTCGAACAAAACAGCTCTAACACTACATAATCCAAGAAAAAGTTATACTTTCTTATAATATACTCAAATTATTCTTTAAATCTATGAAATTTAGTATAGAATTAATAACCAACTTAAAATGAATTTTACATGTCATTATTAAAGTAATATAATATAACATAAACTGTTACTTTCTGTAAAACGATTATAACGATTTAAAAACATATAAAACATTCGTTACGATAACCTAACCAGTTATTAATATCTGAGATCATAGTATATAAATTTTTGTACGGAATGTTTTGAAAATACAAATAATATCAAAATCATATGAGTTACAGAAATTTAACAATTCATAATATAATGTAAACATTGATTTGTCTATTTCTATAAGCGATGAATTTTGAAGCAGTTTAACGTTGCCTACGCACTACTATTCTATTTCGCATAATATATGGAATCTTGAAGGACTTTTAAACGGCTGCTGCGACGGAGAATTTAATATTCCTGAAACCAAGGTAATTATATCAATTTCGTTAATCCTGTAGGTATTAACTAATAGTCATGAATTACTACAGCCAGAATCAAGTTATTGGATTTTAAAATTAAGAACAGCGCCATCTAGTATGAAATAGCCCATTCATGATAAAGGCTTTCAGTTGTTTATTTTTAATTCATCAATTCGTAAAATAACACAAATAAGAGAAAGTTTTCTAATAAGTTACACAACCAGGTTTTGAAAAACTTTCATATAAAATAGGTAAATATAATTTTAAGATGAGTCCTAAAATGACTAAGCGTATTTAAAATTGGCCTTACAAGGCGTCTGGGCTGCCTCCAGTAATTCTGGTAGTAATCGTTGTGGGAAGTCATGTCGATGGCTTCGTTGTTGCCAACGTCAACATGTTGTTCGGCCTCCTCCTTGTTGGTCTTGTACTGCTGGAGTGCACTTATCATGTCTGAAATTAATTAAATATTTAATATTAACAATAATTATTAGAGTCAGCTATCCAAGATGTTCCTCGGATTGTTCAGAGATTTACTAAAGCCAGATACAAAAGATTTGTATGTAACTCCTAACCCAGGAGTCTAACATGTGAAACATTTAATCAGTGTATTTATTTAAGAAGCATTACAACGCTTTTATGGCAAGAATAAAAATAATGTACATGCATTTTTACAAATTTAAACTCTTTTTCCCAAAGCTTCCGCTAGATGGCTCTTAAACCAGAAAAACGATTGAAGTAAATTGTTGTTTGGTTACGAAAACGACCCATAGATGGCCTTGCTTGTAAGTTTTCATTCGTTCAAACCGACATCGGGATTTAAAAGTAAAAAGCGGATTGGTTTCAATAAACGAAAAGATTAATCCTAACTAAATTACTGCTAATTGCTATTATAAGACTAAATATTTAAATGCAATGTCAAATTAAATTCCAGATACTCACAGTGCAGCTCGAAGAATTGAGCTTCCTGCATCAGAAGATCATAGTACTGGAAATCTTCCGGGAGCAGCAACATCTGATTGCGCAAAAAATTGAGAATGTGACGGAACATTCCGCCATCGCGATCAATGAAGTAATGTTGCTTCAGGGTGTCAAGAACAACGGGCACGTTGCCGGAAAACATCCTGCCCAGTTTCGACTCCGGATACCTGGAATTGTTGTACAGAAATGTTTCAAACATTGAACGATACGACATCCAGTACCTACTTAATTTCAATTCCACACCTAAAGTAAGTAAAAAAAATATTCATGCAATGGAATTGAATACCTACTTCTTTTGGGAAGTCGGTCAAAAAGAAACAATAAAAACATTAAATTTCATAGGTTGTGGGTATAGGCTATTTTGAGTCCAATCAAATAATAGCTAAATTGATTATCATACTAATATTATAAATGCGAAAGTTTCGATGGATGGATGAACGAATTTTTGTTAGAGATTATAGCCTAAACGGCTGAAAGGATCTCGATTAAAATTGGCGAGAACGATAGTCTGAAAAAACGCATAGGTCACTAACATTTGTATTTTTTTAATTCCATGCAGACGGAGTCGCAGGCGAAAGCTAGTCAGTAATAAATAATTCGCGTAGAGCTTAAAATTGAAATGTTCATAACATTAATTATATGTGAAACCTGTAAATTCCACATCGATCCCGTTCACGGAAAGATACATTCGATGTAATAAAAGTGTTTTTAGCGTCAAAAAGGATAAACAATATTCATCTATTTCATTCATATCGCAAAGAGTTTTTATATCTTTTTAGGTTTTCATTTTATTTAATGTCAATAGCCAGCGGTTGTTTTGCTATTTCGTGGAATGCTGATAGCTACCTGTCTTATCAAATTTAAAAATTAATTCTGCTTATAGAAAATCCCTTCTTAGTGCTCGAGTATCGGAAAGAAAAATTTATACAAATTTTACGCTCCAGCGGCCAAATGTGTATTCTAATTAGTACTTAATAACCATTTGAATAGTTTTTCGAGCGCATAGTATTAATAATATTAATTTTAGAGATACGACTATCTGCGGGCAAAGCAATAAGGTATGTAGAAGGTAGAGGGCAATACGCGGTATGTCAAGACAAAATACTTATTACACATATAGGCAGAAACTTGAGGTGATGCCGAAGGCAAAATAGACGCACGTCTTATCTGTGCTGTCTGTTAAGAAGAATCTTGGTTTATTCTTTGCAGTTTGCCTTTCCATATTAAAACTGTAAATAGTCAATCTTGCAGCAAGTGATTAGAGTTCCTTAATTTGCATTGGTCAACCAATTACCCTTAATGGGTTCTCACTAGTTATTCAGAATTACGTGAACACTAAATAGTAATTTCATCAATGTTATTTTTTTAATGTCAAATTTTAAAAGGTAAAAAAGTGTAAGCAATACCGCAGGTAAAGCCTAGTAATGTAATATCTTTAGGGTTCGTCAAAACAGTTCTATAATTTATCAACGTGCATACAGCGTCGCAACGAATTAACATCCCCTTTCCACTAGCGTGATAGCCGCGTTACTATTCTGTAGAGTGGCGTGAGACTTACATAAATAAAGAAGTCACACACAACCACAGTCGAGCAGTAAATTGCGCTAGTCGAAATAGGGTTTAAATAAGCTGTGTGTCGGTGGCCGCACCGCCGCAGGCCTGGCCAGAGGCGTCGCGGCCGGAGCGACGCCCCCGCGCCTCGATACAACGCTCTTTTAATCAACACACTCGAGGCTACGAACATAAATATCCGGCCTTCTCTACCTACCTCGAAAACGAAAAAAAACAAAAACAACTTTTTATTGATTTCAATTTATTAGTATTAAAAATTTAAACACTAATATTTTTTAATATAGTTTTAATATGCATTGTGTAAAAAATAGAATTTATTTATTTAATTATACAAAGAGAAAATTTGTATTGAAATATCAAACAAAAGTTCCCTATATATTTAAACATTGATGAATTATTGGTTATTTAATGTTCGAACAGTAATAGCCTGAAGGATTAAAATAATTGAGATAAAAGAACGAACGAACGTGACGTAATAAAATGAGGGCTGCATTAAAATAAGCCTGTATTTATATTTCAATTAATTTAGTAATTACATTATTGAAATAATTTTGTAAACTGACTATTATATCAAAGCAGTCTAAATACTTGTTACATTTATTTAGGTTTCTGTTATTATAAAAAATAATAATATCGAATCGAAATCAGCACAAATTACTAACGAACGTAACTTATGTAACACTAGCTTTTTCCGTGCGACTTCATTCGTATAAAATTATAAAAACCTTATTTTATTGTTAAATTCTCAATTGCAAATGTCAAAATTACCGTTACCGTAATAACCTTGCTTCCTTGATATTAGCAGCTTGTAGTTTATAGTCCCTGAAAGAGACGATCTTGTACGGGATCTTGTACGCGAGTAAAATAAATAAGAAATAAACCAAAACTAAACAACTTTTAATAAAATTTACAAAATAATAAAAATATATACATTTCAGCCTAGCGTTGTGACATCTGCTCGAACACTGCTTCAAATATTTACAAAAGAATTAATAAAAAAAAATATAACTATTCGTTTGTTTTCTTAAGATTAATGATCAATGATGAAAATAATTAATGGCAAAAGAGTGCTTTAGTAGAAGAATTTAAGTGGCGTTCAGCTATCTTTCAGCAAATTTTCCAACAACCAGTTCCACCAATACAGAGAATGAAAAACGAAAATGATGAAAAAGCGAAAATGATTCATTGTGACCCGACACAAACGCGGACTTGCGGACAGAAAGGCAAACATTTATTTCGTTAAAAACAAATACGTCGTGTTTGCGAAATATGTTGTTTGTAACACACAGATACTCCTGTTTCATTAATTGTATAGATTCGAAAGCGAACGGTTAAAAATATCGATATGCTTACAAACACTCCAATAACAAAATACCTATCTAAAAAAAGTGTGTAACGTTTGCTCATTTTTTCAGGTTTTTTTATTACAGATGTAATAGTGCGTATATTCAAGGAAAGATAGTGAAGTTCGCAGATTCTGCTGAAACTATGGATGTGCATCAATCGAGAATATAGAATAAAAAAAGTTGCATCTGTTAGTTTTTTTTTCTTTTCTAGCGCAAATTTAATGCTGGAATAAAATAAACTAATCTGACGCTATTTTTCTCTTCGCCTAATCATTGTTATCCACATTCTTGCTATCAGTATTAAGTAAAAGTCTAAGGATTAAAAAAAATACTCACTTGGTAAGCGTCTCCAGCGACGAAGTATAGATGACACCTCCAACGTCGATATGCACCGGTGCCTTAAAGGGCGAGGTGGTCTCAACCCTTGGCATGTTGCTGATCCTTTTATCCTCGTAAGGTTCCGGGAGTGAGTGAATTGGCCTTAATGCATGGCTTTCCATTTCCTACAATAGGTACAAATGAAATTTAATTGCAATCTATTCACTCGCCTTTAAATAAATCACTAATGGCCAGTTACATAGATACGTTTAACCATTCGTTGGTATTTCGATAAATTCACGAAATGCGTTTCTGAACTACGTAACTTTTTATTCCTTTGAAATTAATTTTAACTTTACACTAATAAATCACTAGGTTATGATAAAAATGAAATCTTCAGCAACCCGGCATAAAAGTGGTATGAGAACAAATTTAACATAAAGATTTTAAATAGCACAATAAGATGGTTACCGTATTAATAGTTTAATTAGAGAGCATTGAAAACAAAACATAAACGAATATCGTATTACTTACTAGTTTACAGCGCCTATAAAGATTATACGACAAATATTTCCAGCTGAGGGCCTGTTGGTCCGCCGTAGTTACCTAAAAAAATTAATTTGAACAAAAGTTAATCAAACAGATATTTTCTATAAAAAAACACTCTAAGTGTTAATCTTACTGAGCTAGTGCTTAACATCCTGCGGACGCATCTTCATTTAGTTCAAACTAAAAAATACCTACCACTTTTCGGAGCGGTTCCAAAGAAATATGGCCGAACGAATCGGCCGGTCGCTTCCTAGTAGAAGCTACGCAGATGGACACAGCGATGCAGGCTGTGCCAATACAGGGGAAAGCTTCCCAAATATTGATCTGCAATATAAAATAATATACATTAAAATATATAAGACCGAGATACCGTCTGCGTGGAATTAAAAAAAAAAAGTAAGAAGCCTATGTTTTCTTCTAGCCTGTGTGCTACATCTGTGTCAAATTTCATCGAGATCCGTTCAGCCGTTTAGGCGACAAACTCTAACAAATATCCATCCATCCATCCAAGCTTCCGCATTTATGTTAAGGAAGAAGTAAGATATATTATAGTAATGTAAAAAAATTTAGACGGCTCAAAGCACTATTTTTATAAGCATAGTTTGGATTGCAAATCAGATTCATGTTTGATTACCTACACGTAAATGACACGAAAAGTACCTACAAATTCTTCCAATCTAAAAATAAAATATTGACTACTCATGGCCAACATCATTATTTTTAATTAACCCAATGGGTTAAAAGTGGGCATTGTTCAATTCAAATGAAAAGCGTCGGGGGCGTAGTTGTTAATCACCTGACCTGTCCGGACCGTAATAGGTTGGATTTATTTCATACACAATTTTCCACCGTTCTTAAACTAAAGGGATAAAGATCCACATATCTGCGAAGAAATTCAAGGATTTCTATGTATGAAGCCAACCAACCGGGCCAGAGTGGTTGACTAAAACCTACTCACCATTAACTTACGGTAGGCTCCAAGCTCCTGGGATCCCCTAAAGATAGCGACGCGAATGTAATGTTGACTACGGGTATAATGATTTTTTTTTATGATATTGTTAACATAACGAAAGGCGTATTCTAAATTTCAGATCAATCAGGAAGTGATTGTAATTCAAATAACTAGATCACCTAAATAAAAAGTGCAAGTTAGAAATAAACTGTTTAGTAAACTGCAATATTTCATTTAGAAATGCTCTTTCTGTTACTTATCCGCGTGTAATCAAGTTTCACAAATGTGATGCGCGCAGATATGATAGTGGAGGCGTGGGAGAGCTGAACAACCTACTGAGCTACGCTCCCACGACATTTTTGTAAATCCCAATCCTGCATATGGTATTAATCTATTATTATATTACAAGATAAATGTCAATTTGTGCACTAAATCATTAACATTGAATGATATTAGTGATTTGATCAATCTCGAATTAAAAAACTGTAATTTGACGAAACTGTAAAATTAGGCCACATTTGACATCTATCAATTTTTAGCTTCATCGTTGCATTTTTGATAATATCGATGAAAGAAAATTAATCGATACAGACTTCGAGTCTATCGATTTTTCAAAAGAATTTAGTATCAAGAATTAGATGTTTACATTTGTTAGTGAAGAATTCGAATTATTTCTTAGTTCGCATAGTTATGTAATATTTTAGCTGCCTGATATAATTAATGTCACCCTTGACATGCCGATTCCGAAATACCACAGTTAATAGACAAATTAGCCCTTGAATGCCAATTTACGCCTATAAATGTTTACTGTGCATTGTATTATTAATAGGAATGTGTTATATTCTTATTGAAACCAACCCGCAGGGGGCCAGCGTGGTTGACTATGGGCTAGTCACCCTAAGATAGGGTAGACTCCGAGCCCTTCGGTGGGGAAGTACAGTGACCTGGTGATGATGATGATGATGATGATGATTCTTATTGAAACTTGTTGTGATTCTATAAAGATCTGTTTTTACTAAGATAATAAATGGGATGGTTATATAGTTATTAATTATTATACATTTGGGGAAAAAGTGGCAACCCAGTATCTTAGATGGAGACTAATAAGATGTCTACTATGGAATTTTGTCGATCTTGTACCTGTGTTAAAAATTACCCTGTCACATATATGTGCGGTAGTAAAAAACAAACTCCGGAAGTAAAAAATTGTTTTAGAAAAAAATTAACTATGAGCAATTTGGTAATACTTAAGAAATATACTTTAATGCAATTTTTTAAATTTAATATACATACATAAGTGGTATTCGGACAAACTCCGAACGCATCATTTACAATATTAACCAATCTTTGTTTTCCATTTTAATTATAAATGATAATGTTTGGATGGATGGATGTTAGAACCTCCAAAACGGTTGTATAGATCGTTATGATATTTGCTACTCTAATGGTAATATTAACTACTTAGGTTTTTTTAAGCCGCGCGGACGTAATTGCTAGTACAAACTACAACCAATAAAAGTGTAACAAGTCAAACGAACTATTGCAATATAACGTTATAATATCAAATTAAATTTCTTTTCGGAATTTACCATCCGATAATTAACTTGCCCTGTTTCTATACTTGCTACTATAACATGTAAATGCAGCTTTCCACTGTTTCAACGTATACAAACATATAGACGATCCTCTAAATCTCTTTGAACAGAGAGAGATAGCATTACATATCTCATGAAATTTCGCTAGACTTAACTTCATAGAAATCCATTACCGTAATACTTGATAGTTACATATTGCCATCTCTATCGCTCCCTTTGATCAAATATATATATTGATATTAATGCAATTAGTGCACGACTAAATTCTATCGTAAAACCATCAAAAGGATTTAAACAAATATATTACAGAGCGGCCATTCGATTCAATTTCCGTGCCACTTCACACGGTTGTAGCGAACTGGTATTAACTACTATGTAACAAGCAGCTAGTGCATTATAGAATAGTTAAATGTAACAGTATCGTTGTTATGTCTATTAATACATTTTGAATATTTTAGGAAATCATACAGTCATATTCATTAAAATGTTGTCTCTCAAAAATCTTGACAAGCACTTGAAGAAATCACTCATAAATACAGTAGTGAGGGAACCTCTGGGGCGCCATGACTTCGCCCGAGGGCATCTCATACCTGTCTGGTTTCATTATAAATACGCCGACGGCTGTTAGCCTACTCTTCATACGAATACGTAGAACTTTAAATACCAGCATAAAACTGAATACTAAAATGTTACGCATTTTTTTTTAAATATGATTAAACAAAAGACATCAGTAAACAACGCGAACAGTCAAGAACTTATTAGTAGAGGACATTCAGTCTGGAAGAAATTGTTTTATTATAAACTATATAAGAGGAAGGTAATGAGTGAGGATTACACTATAAATTTTAACACATTTACAAAAGCAAGAAAAATCCTAATTCTTCAACTGGTGCGGCGGCGGGCCAAAATGCGCCCCCAATGATATTTCCGACAGTGCGTGACAGGTCTTTCTAGACCCACCACCACTAGGATAGATTAAATTGCTATAACTATGTGGGAACGCAATGAAAACAAAAACATAAACATTTTATGTAATGTAACATATACCCCTGAGATAACCGTTTCGCACTTACGAGAGGTACATAGTTTTCTTAGTCCGCAACAGGTTAAGTACCGCGTCGGGCCGATATCGGCCTGTTACCTAGTGAATGTTGCAATAGGAGGAATGTCCTCTATAATAAAGCACTGCTTATATGACCCTTAAATGACGCTGTATGTGATATAAATCGATTAAGTCACACTGTGCCGACCCTTCATAGGGACAAGGGCGAGCTGATAAAGATAATGATGATGTGGTATTAAGTAGGTAACATTATAGATATTTTCCTAATAGTAGAAGTACAAAGAAAACAATCCAATTTAATATCATCTTTATTAAATTAATATTGCATTGTTAGCAGAAGGCATTCTTAATAAAAATGTTTTAAACGTAATATTCAGACGCTATTTATTGCACATCGTGTTTTCCGATAATATTTTTCACAGTTGAACGATTAACAATTTATTTTAAATACAATTGAAATGAGTAAATTAAATGTTTATTGGAATCAACATATTTGAATTATTTACAAAAATCAGATTATTCAACCAGATGCCAAATTTACGGAATACCATACCGACTAAATTCATTTGGAAAGCGCAATTAAAATTTTGAAACTAGCTATGCTGTGTGGATTGGCGGCGTGCCTCAATTGTTCCCTATAAACGTAAGCGTTGCAATTAAACGCAATGCGAGGCGACGCAACGCGATGCGATAAACGCCATGCTCATCATGATTGGCAATTATAATGTGAACCTTAAGTTAAATCACCGAATACTTTAAATTTCGCGTCCCATTCATCATCTCCCCTACCTTATCCTATTCCCCTAGGCTTGGTGGACCTCGTTTTCGACCTCCAAATAAATCTATAATCCGTCATCTAAGTCATCACTCCCTTCTTGATCATGTCACAATTACGTAATCCATACATCTATTTCTAGGTCTACCTCTACCAGTGTATTTGTATTCGCATTGTCTATCTTTTTTTAGTTTTAGTCGCTAGCTTCCAAAGTGTTACAATATTCATCTCCCTTGTAAACCGCATTTCCTTTCTAGTATCCATACGGAATTTGCAGCGCTATTCAAAAACTTTCTGACGGCTCCGGTACGAGATGCTCCACAAAACACAATTTTAGGCGCGAAATAGTAAGGACAAAGGGCTCACTCGTCGCACATTTGCAGACATGAGCTCGTAGTTAACCAGGTGATGGCATAAAGTTTGGATCGTATTATACAAAAGCTCGAAAATTTAGAGCGCAGTCATTCTAGCGGACGTCGAACATTGTTTATTTCATTTCTACTCTTAATTAAATTTACTAAATACTCGCATTACATTCCAGTAATTACATCAAGTTCAAAATGCATCGTATAAAGTATTCCAGTCCGGTATTTGCTGGTCATATTTCTATTGCAGTAAACAAAGATAGACGCTGTCCGTTTTCCAACGCTACCTTTACGAACATCCTACAAATATTTTAACATGGCAGCGAACGTTGCATTCGAGTTTGCTTTTACATTATTGCAATAGTTTAAGGGAAGAGTAGATAAACATTAGCAGTTTAAACAAAAGCAAAAACTTATAGCGGAAATAAACAAAATGCAAAATAATAATTCTGCATTCAACAATTTATTGGAAATGAATAAATATGTGAAATATTTTCCGTACGCTTTTCTGTATCGCTTTATAAAATATAAAGCGTATTCAATTAAATTATCAGTGTGCCGTGTATAAAGAAAT